CGGCGGGGAAGCCGTCGCTCTGCGCCGAGCGCAGGGGATGCGAGCGGTGGAATCACTGAAGGTCCGGGGTCGGCGCAGAGAAGGCGCGGAGGTGTGACGGGGCCAAAATTAGAGCCTAACCACGGGCCTGGGTCGGGGCGCTTGGCTGGTAGGTCATCGCTGTGACCCGGATTAGTAGTGACCAAATACCTGGAGGCAGCTGCTTCGGTGACGCGCTGGTCCCAAATCGCCGTGTGACCCTTACTTACTCTCTCTAGAGCTGGCCTGAGAGGTGACTGACCGAGCGGCGCTCTGGCGGTCCGCTCGCCGCCCGGGATCACGGCTGAGCTGGGGAGAACCTGCACACCTTTCCCCTTCACCCGACAGGCAGCTCTGATCTCCAGCGCTGCCTGGCTTTTCCCCAAGGCTCCCACTCCACTTCACTCAAGGCAGGCTTTGCATAATGCATCGGAGAATGGAGTTAATGTCGGCAAAGGAATTCCTGACATCCTAAATCTTGGGCAGTGGCAGCAAGAGCATGTGGCATTAAAACAACGATACAAAAGGATAGAGCCTTAACGTTTACATACAAGTCCTCAGTCCAATCTTTGTGTGTGTGTGTTTCTACACACACAGAAGTATCCATACTTCTTTTCATGGGAGGGAAAATATTCATATACTTAGTTTACTAGGCAGAGGAGAACACTTCAGCTTATCACTAGACTTTTTTTTTTAACTTTATCTCATTTTTCTCTTCTTAGTCATTATGTCTGTTATCCCTGCTTACTGTTCTACTCCCACTGCACTTTCTGGTTTATTATTTTATTGGGTGAGTTACTCTGTTACTGTTCCGTCAGATACATTATGTTTTACCACAGTGATTGAATGTTGGCCTATGAAACGAAGCAAAATGAAGACATCTAATAAGAGCAAACGTAACCATTTTGATTTTTCCTGCAGTTGCCAGAAGTTGAAAATTTAAGAATAGATGTTGGAGTTTGCTTTTGACTGTTTTAACTTTGTTTGCCTGCAAGTTGCAGATGACTCATGGAAGTAAAAATATTATACAAAGTTGTTTAAATTATGGAGCATGTGTAGAATAGCTGTTTTGTTTCATGTTCTTCCTGAAGCCACTAATCAATGGCATGCAAGAATGTCAAGAGTGACACTTTGCAATAAAATCTGAGTCAAGAAAGTCCTCCGCACTAGGCAGTTGTTCTAGTTTATAAGGCCACTATTTCTGTTCCTATTGAGATACTTTATTTTAATTTGCTGGTGTGCTGGCCCTGCTTAACATAAGTAACTTGAATAACCTTTCTGAGTGGTTGTATTACACGCTCTGTTCTGAATAGGGAAAAAGTCTGCTAGGAATAATTCCTGTTGTTTACGTTCCTTTTCTTTACAGCAACTTGTTTTCTCGTAGTTTTGCTGGTAGTTATATGCAGTAAGGGATGAACAAAAATCTTACATATTCATTTTCGCTCTGAACAAACAGTATAATTATAGTTGCAGGAAACAGAGGAAGTGTATTGCCTTCCCCAATTATTAAAAGGGCAAGGCTCCAGTAACTCAAAACCTGGATGCTTTTCAAATCAAACCAAACTTCTACAAGAATTTTACACATCAGCAGTGCAACAACTAACAGAGTTTTATTGCTCCAGTGAGCTTCTGGAAGAAGCTTGTCTGCTTCAAAATGCAAATTTGCTTCTCGCTCTTTGTATGATGGGTTATATATTACAGTATGTTCTGAACTATATAACTTTCCATTCCTGTAAACATAAATGATACATCTGATATATAAATGATATGTAAATAATGGTTAGGGTTGTCCTGAATATTGGGCAAGACAGTTAAGTTTTAGGCACAGAGGTAACAATATAAGGAAGAAGTTCTCTACTGTGAGGGTGGTGAGACACTGGATCAGGTTGCCCAGTGAGGTTGTGGATTCCCCCTCTCTGGAGGTGTTCAAGGCCAGGCTGGATGGGGCTTTGAGCAACCTAGTGGAAGGTGTCCCTGCCCATGGCAGGGGGGGTTGGAACTAGATGACCTTTAAGGACCTATGAATATATCAGGATTCATGGTCAGCCAAGCTGCATGTGAAGAAGACTAGGCTGTGAAAATTGTAACCACTTCAAATAACTCCACAATCTATCTTGACTGCAGTACTGTTTGTTCTCATTTTATTTCCTCTCCAAACCACTGTTTCCCTCTTCCCCCTGAAGCCCCAGTGCACGTGACGGTTACAAGCGCAGGTGTCGGAGAACAGGATTTTGATGGTGAAAGACAGTACCAGATTCTGAAGTCCGGCATTCATCAGATGGGGTCTTATTTCTGCTGCTTTAATATTTTAACTTTCCTCTTCTGAACTGTCCTGGGGGAAGTTTTGAAAAGGCAGTAACGCTTTCAGTTGCTCAGTCACAGTAATGTTTTGCCAACTATCCTTAAGAAAATGGAGCTGCATTAACATTCTGCTTTTTTGCACAACAGCTGGGTCTAGAAGAGTGAAACACATGAAGCCTGGATTCCTGTCCATTTGTTTCCTAATTGGTATCCATCACAATCAGCTGTCTCCCTCCTCAATGTTCCTTATGTCCTCCCCACTGCTAGAGACGCAACATGCTGTACTTAGGTCAGAGCTGTGTTCCTGGCTATCAGCCAGAACGCATGATAACTGGCTATGTTGCTGATGTCTAATAGAAGGTGTCTTGACAGATTTTGCCCTACCTTTTTCTCCCATGGGGACACAAATTTAAGGCTCTTCTTCCTAACTCACCTGCCAACAAGCGCTGGAGACACAGTATGATGTGCTGGGCTGGGTACCCTCTCCTGACCAGCCAGAATACATGTGACAGCTAGTGGGGTTGCTGCTGGCTAGTAGAATGAGTCTTGGCCGAGTTTCCCCTGCCTTTTCCTCAGTGTGGACCAAAATTTGAATCTCTCCTCCCTAAACCATCTGCCAGTTTGTACAAAGTTTGTAGGAAGTTGATTCAAATTTGGTTGAAATGGGTAGGAGGGATGGTGTGGCAAATGGGTGAACAGGCAACATTATTGAAGTTTTTTCCCTTGGGAAACCAGAGGGAAAAAACATTTTCTACTAGGGCCAAAGGCAACTTCTAATTCAGCGTTTGTAAGGACGAGAAAATGATGACCCAGGAGGAGCAGTATTCAGGGTGGAAATTAATGGTAGCATTAGAAAGTTTTGAATGTAAGCGGAAGGAATGGGCTGATGACTGAAGGGCATGAGCTGTATTCGCAGCACTTCGTGAAATTTCCAGCAGTACCATGGGAAAAGCACTTACTCTCTGCCTGCAGATGGGTCTGCATTTAGGCAATTGGATTGATACTTTAATCTACTAATGCGTTTGTTTTCTAAATATTCATGCGGCCCTTTGCATGGAAAAAAAGACAGAAATAGCATTACAAACAAGGGTCATATCTTCCCGTTCTCATCTTTCTGTCACCTAATGCTGCAGCCGCAGGAGCTGTCAAGCTGCCGAGGGCTCCCGGCGCAACCAAAAATAGCCGAAGTAGGTGAAAGGTTGTGGAGCAGCACACAAACAGGCTGGCGTGCCCAGCCCCGCTGCCGGTTTAGTGAGGGAAAGGTCCTGCAGCTGCGCCAGCACTTGCGCAATCTCCCCCGCTCACTCATAGTTTGCAAAAGTCAAGAGTACAGTAGCTGGATCATTTTACTGCTGGAGCTGCGGCCGGCCGGCAGCCTGTTTACAGCTGGAGCTGTAAACACCAGGATGCGCATGGCAACCCACCAGCCCTGAACAGGAGACACCCTTTTTCCTCATTCCCTGCCTTTGTTATCCATGTCTGAAATTGTGTCAACTGCTTTAAAATCAAGGACAAGGAGAATGGATCACTGCTTTCAAAATTGCTTTTCCAAAAAATAGCGAGAGGCTTGCACAAGATTAGCTGTGGGTATTTCAAACTTGGAGTGTAGAGATAGTAGAGAAAGAGAAAACTGTTTTGGAGTATAGCTGTACCCTTCAGGAAAAAAAACCTAGGACTCAAGCTGTGATAAAATATTGCTCAAAAGTGTTTATCTTGAAAAGCTTGTGACTAGAACATGTTGAATTCAGGAGTCTGCTTACTACGTAGGAGAATAGTAATCTTCGGCCAAGTACACCATTGCAGAGGAAATAGAGGTGAACTCTCAGTGTGGGCTGGCACCGATCTAAAGTATATAGCTGGACAAAAAAAA